CTCCTCTAATGGATCCGGCGATGATGAGGCCGGTGAAAGGTCGAGGGCCGAAACTTCTGGCTCCGACCAGGATAACTTTGCGGCTGACTATTAGCAGCCGCCGAAATTCGCTAACAATCCCAACCCTAAAAGAATTATAATGCTTCCGAGTGACATTGCCCTGTTAAAGAGCGGTTTTAGGGCTTTAAAAGAGAAGCACCCCTTTGGAAAGGGGTGGGATATTATCGTCTCGCCTGCTAATGCAGTAATGGCATGGGACGATGACATTGATAATGCACACTTCTACTTTGTCTGCTATGAGGCGGTTATAGAAGCCGACCTCCAGTTCCCCCTTCATACCAGGATTAGGAAAATCCTAAAGGGGTCTGATATGGGAGTTTAGCAGCTCACCCCCAACTCATGGGTGAGCATTTTAAGATACATTGCCGCCTGCGAGCTCCACAACTTAGCTCCCAGCTTCTCCGCCTTCACTCATATGCATTACTTGAGCAAGGCACCAGGCGGTCATGGGGCGTGGTACGCTCTTTCTACCTTGCCCCAATACTTGATGAGTTTGGACAAGGTGTCCAAGTGGTCAGGGTGGAAAGATAAGTTTTATTTGATTTCTTCTCCAACTCTTAGACACAACCGGATACTACGCCGATACAACAAGGAACCGGTTCTTCTGGGCAGGAAATGCCCCCTCCCGGCGTTCTCCGGTAGGGCCCGGGAACAAATAATGGAGCCGGGTTTCTTTGAAACAAGTACTGAGCCCATGGGGGATGGGACTCATATTATAGTTCCAAAAAACTAGATCCCCTTCCCGGACTACTTCAAGGTCGAATGCTTCTTGGCCGCCTGTGGGTTAAGTCCCATGTTTCCCAAGGGTAGATCAACTTGCATCCAGAATGTTTGTAACTTTATTTTTTCATTACAAACTTTCCATAATTTCTTCTAACTTTTTATTTTATTCATGCAGCCGACGCCTTGAAGATGGTTGACCCGGCCAAAACCCCGGCTAAGTTAGCGGCACTACTGCGCAAGGAGGCTGCTATTGCAAAGAAAGCAGCTGTTGAAGCCAAAGAGTCCAAGAAAGGCGGGGTAAGACCACCTGCCTTAGCATATATATATATATATATATATATATATATATATATATATATATATATATATATATATATATATATATATATATATATATATATATATATATATATATATATATATATATATATATATATATACATATATATTTTTTAATTTTTAATTTTTTTTTTTTTTGCAAAGGCAACTTGCCGGTTGGGTATATTTAACTTTCTTAATTTGCAGGACTCTGCAAAACGTGTGCCTCGATCCTTCTCAAAGATTTTCAAAAGGCAAGGAGAGGATTTGGAATAGGATCCGGCTGCCAAGGCCGCCAGGAAGAACCCTCCCCGGTCAAGCTCTACTACCAAAACCGATCGTCCCACGACCGGTGGCAAATCTCCTGCTGCAATGAAGATTCTGAGCGAAGGCTCAGAGCGTTCGTAGCAGAATGCGCCGGATGCCTCCACAACATCGAAGGGTGGCCCGCCACCTAATGTTGCAGCCGGTGCGGTAACAACCGGGGAGGAGGAGGCTCCTAAGCCCCTTTCGGAAACCTAAGGTAAGGGAAAGATTAAAATACCTTGGCCACTTGACTTCATGACAGTCAAGACTAAGGTAGACCCCTCCGGGGGTTCAGTCAGCAGTCGGCAATGGATGAATCCCAACTATGCTGCTTGGAGTGAGAATTTCCAAAGGGTTATGGCCATATTTAGAACACATATGGGTTAAGAAAAGTGAAAAAAAAAACTCAATTAGGAAGTAGAATCGAGCGAACAGTACTAGAATCTGTCGAAACAAAGAAGGTAGATTTCTAGCTTGGTATTAGAAGAATATGGCGCGAGACAACAGGGCCCATCGCCAGAAGGTAGCTTTGTCGCCAAACGACTTTGCTGTTGCGTAGCGACGGAGCCATCGCATGGCGCTGGCTCTGTTTTCTCAGCGCCGGTTCTTACTTGCCTCAGCAGCTTTATATTCTTTGAATTTTCCGATTTTTCGTAGAATTTTTTCGACCCTCGTTGTGAAAGATATTTCCCAAATTTCCTACGTGTAAAAATCCTATGTTTTTTATGCATTACGGATGGTCTATCCAATGCGGAACTTTTTTATGCATATTTCAATAATATCAGTAAAAATTACGCACATGATTACTTAGAACTTTTCGAGTCACATCCAATCATTCTAAATTATTGCCAAAATAAATTTTAGGAATTAAAATAGAAATTGTCCCTAGTGGAGTCGTCAAAAAACTTTAGGGAATATTTCAAGCATCCCACACTTGATCCCCACTATGATCATACACTTAAGCATGGTGGTGTCCAAAGGGAAGGAAGCTAGAGTAAAAGAATCACCAACAAGTTTTAGGAACTTGTAAACCGTTCACAGGGTGAAGGTTATACCCCTTCACGATCCATGGGATTGCTAATTCCATAGTGGTTTAAACATGACTGGATATTCAGGGATGAAGGTACAAATCCAACCTAAAAGAGATTAAACCTACCTTAAAAACAGGTATCTACTTTATTCATCTCATATTCATGTGCGCTTTCTGACTAACATACAGTCATTATGTTTACCCTAAACTTATTTAATCTATGTTGATTGAATATTAATGCACAAAAAAATCTATTATTGGCGATCACTTGAATTATAATCATATTAGCCTAAACAAAACTATTAGTTATCTTATTAAGCGTGATTACAAGTACAAATTCCCTTTAATCCTGCAAGAGAGGGCGTGATCAGGCAATAAAAATAATATATCAAGCAACATAACAACAATCATCATCATTTTAATGATATTCCCAATAAAGCATAATAATATTAGCAAGATCATAGGCATGATATTAACAAGATTGATAACAAATCCTAGCTTGTCACTATACAATAAAGATCAAAGCTTTATCCCAACATGATACTAGCATGATAGAAAGAAATAGGAAGCAACCGAAACATGATACTAGAAAGAAATAAATAACAGCCTAAAATGACTCTAATAATTAATATAATCTAAGCATTCTTTCTATAAAAAAAGAATAATTACATTACTTACTTCGATGCCTCGTATCTCTTTCTAATAACAAAATACACGCGTTAGTAACTTCAAGGATAATATTAAATCAAATAATTAAGTTAAATAATTAAAATAGAGATTTGGGACCAAAACCTCATAAATTATCAACCTTTCACGTCTATGGCGAAGGCAACTTCGAATTTGACTAGGTGTGTCAAAGAATTGTGAATGCGGAATTTTGTATTTGGGAAAGGTTTAGAAAAAGAGAGAAGACTAAGCTATTAGCTTGAGAGAATTAAGGATGGTTGAATCTTGATGATATTGAGTGAATAAAAACAACGAAATACAACCCTGTTTATAAGAAAATAGTCTGAAAACGATAGAAAAGAATCAAAATTTGAATCGGAATAAAATTGATCCCAGTCGAGCCTAGTGCGAAACGACAAGCATCACACATGGCGACAGGCTCTGTCGTTTGGCAACAACTTTGTCAATTGGTGCTAATTAAAAGATAAAATGCGGTTTGTACGGAATCCTCTTCTTAATAAAAAATTAAGCTATTAAACTCCGTTTTTATCAATTTAAAATCAGATTTTATCATAATAAAACACTTGCAATATTTCAAATCAAAATCATTATTTTTCTAAAAAGATAATTATGAATCCTAACTCTTTTAGATCTTAAGATAACCTTCTAGATTATACTAGAAAATTAGATTAAATCCTAATAATTTTAGGAACAATAATTAATGGGCCCTCCACTAGATCATTGGGCCATAAAACTATTTTAGACCCTATTTAGTCTTTGGACCCCAACTTCCTCATTATTCATCAGAATTGGGCTTATAATATATCATTCAAAAACTCTTATCATGCTCAACCCAATTACACTATTATTGAGCCCTTATCATGGACAAAGCTAAATTGGACTGGCTATTTTCATAAATGTAGTAGATTTTTAAAACTAGAAAGAAAGGTTTTTATTAAAATGACCACATCACAAGACTTTTCCTACTTTCACTTCATTCGATAATCAAGCAACGTAAAAAGTATTCATCACTGGGTTTGATTTTTGGGGAGACACATTTGGGTGTCTAAAATGATTCACATGGTTGCTTACATTCTTAACATTCTTCCATCTACAACCATATTATAAAATCACACTCCAACCAACATTCTTTTTCGTAGGACCCCTACCTATGAACACCTTCGTATATTCGGTTGTCTACACTACCTGGCACGACACCTTATAAGATTGCCCCTAGGTCTACTCCGTGTGTCTTCTTTGGATTCCCGTTTAATCGTAGAGGTTATTTGTGCTATGATCTTTCCTCCAAACAACTAATCATTTCTAACCATGTAACTTTTGTTGAGAATCAATTTCCATTTTTTGTTGAGAATCAATTTCCATTTTCCAACCTTCAACAACTTAAGAACCGTGATTACGATTTTACGAAGTCAAATACCTCTAATGATTTGCACCCATTGTTCTTGCAACATCAATCCCTCCCTAGCCCACACACGCAGCCCAATTAGCCAGCAAGCCCAATACCGCCCCACTCTTTATCAAGCTCTCCTCACACACAAATCACCCCACAGATCGAACCACAGGTGGGCTGCGGTAATGCCCAGCAGGCTGCGGCCTTACTGCGCACCCCCTGCCCAGTCCACCTCTATCACCCACCAGCCCACCTCACACCCCTTTTTCACCATCAATTCAGTTCGATTTTCTGTTGAACCCCACTCCGGTCATAAATCCTCACTCTAGGCCCACTTTGCAGCCTTCCCACTCTATGACAGTTTGTGCTAAGGGCGGGATTTTTAAGCCGAACCGCAAATATCAGGCCAATATTATGGTTCCCGCTATCTCTCTTCTCCCTCAAAACCCGAAATTAGCCATGCTTGACCATAACTGAAATGTCGCCATGTATGAGGAATTTAATGCTCTTACTAACCAGCACACTTGGAATCTTATTCCAAGATCAAAAGGGGTCAATATATTTCGTTGTATGTGGTTATTTAAGCACAAATACAGTGAAAATTGTAAATTGGAGCAACACAAAGCAAGACTTGTTGTGAATGGCAAGTCTCAACAGGTTGGTGTGGATTGTGATGAAACTTTTAGTCCCGTGGTCAAACTGGCGACTATTCGTACTGTGTTGAGTATTGCTATGGGTATGGACTGGCGTATTCATTAGTTAGATATCCAAAATTCATTTCTTCATGGTATCCTCAAAGAAATCGTATTTATGCATCAACCAACGGGATTTGTAAACCCTAGTGCTCCTACTTACTACCTCTGTACATATTATTTGCAACGATTTGACATAAAGTAGTGAGGAAAAATGTCTAATTGTGGTAATATGTTTGTTCGGTCCGCAAATCCCTTTATGGTCTTAAACAGACCCCTCGGGCTTGGTATCAACAGTTTGCTAATTTTCTCTTAAATATTGGTTTTACATGCAGCAAGAGTGATAACTCCCTATTTATTTTGCGACATGGTGCTAATGTTGCTTATCTCTTACTTTATGTTCATGACATTGTTCTTACAACCTCCTCAGACCAACTCAAGTGTTACATTATTGCTCTCCTTAAGTCCGAATTCTCCATGTCTAACTTAGGAAAGTTTAGTTTTCTGGGAATTTCTGTAACCCAAATAAAGGATTCCATGATCCTTTGTCAGAGTAAGTATACAGAGGAGATTATTCACAGGGCAAAGATGAAAAATTGCAAGACACGAGGTTATTACTCCCGTCGACACAATATCGAAACTTAGCGCTCACGATGGTGAGCCAATGCAGGATCCCTCTCCTTACAGGAGCCTTGCAGGTGCACTTCAGTACCTAACTTTCACGTGACTTGACATTGCTTATGCCGTTCAGCAGATTTGTCTCTTAATGCATGCTCCTAGGGAACCTCATTTTAATACTCTTAAGCGTATTATCAGAAATATTAAAGGCACTTTTGATCATGGACTACATTTATACCGTTCTGCACCTACGAGACTTACTTCATACACAGATGCCAATTGGGAAAGATGCCCGGATACTCAACGCTCCACTTCAGGGTATTGTGTTTATTTGGGTGATAATCTGGTCTCATGGTCTGCAAAACGACAGGCTACGTTGTCTATATCAAGTGCCGAAGCAGAGTGTAGAGGTGTCGCTAATGTTGTTTCTGAATTATGTTTACTCCGGAACCTACTTCTTGAGTTACATTGCCTTATTTGATGGGCATCCTTGATTTATTGTGATAATATTTCTGTCATATACTTATCTTGCAACCCGGTACAACACCAACGTACTAAAGACATTGAGATAGACATTCATTTTGTACGTGACAAGGTCGCTCTTAGTGAGATCAAGGTCTTACATGTTCCGTCTTCATACCAGTGCGCAGATATTTTCACCAAAGGATTACCTCGCCAACTATTCTTAGATTTCAGAGACAGTCTCAGTGTCCGACCTCCTCCCGCTTCAACTGCAGGAGTGTGATAGAAAATAGATTTATATATTATCTTGTTAATATTTTGTAAAATATATCTTGTGTAATTAGGGATCTCATAATTAGGTTGTACATACCTATATATATTGATTAATGAGAATACTATAACCAAGGGGGAATACACAACTCTACACACTAGACCCACGCACATGGCACATTTAAGCAGCCCTCTAGAAAGCCCGGGTTTATTATGATGATGTAGTGAGACTGGTGCACGAATTAGATAAAGCAAATAACATCAAGAAAACTCGAAAACCCCTTGATTTGACCCTTGAGATTACACAAACTTATAAGGGAAAAAGGTGAATTGAAGAGATGTGAGCAGCATAAAAAAAAGGACGCTCAACCTATCAAGTTTTGCACGTTCAAAGGGGGGGGGGGGAAGGAGAAGATTATTGGACAACTACTTAAAGAGGAATAGGGGAGGTGTTATTATATGAGTAATTAGGGAGTTTTAGACTTTAGAAACGGATCAATAATTAGCCTTAAGGTTGACTAGCGGTAAAACCTAGGTCGTTGGAAGCTAGATTTCCCAGCCAAAACAATATTTATAAAGCTTAAGCCAACCTAACGTATAGGGTAAGTCTAAGTCGAATCCCAAGTGAAGGCGGGAGTACTAAGGTTGATGCTACAATATTCCGAAAACTAAGGGAGTGGGTTGGCCTACACTATTGGAATCAAATCAATCAAACAAAATCAAATAGGAATCAATATCAAAACACTAGGGAACTTCGGATCCACATGCATTGATAACAATCTTGCTAATTCGAGAGAATTCAATCAACTAAGCAATGCGAGGGAAAAAAAGAATAAGCAATCAAGATCACTCAATAGGATATTTCCTAGGGTCAAGCTAGATTTCTCTACAAATGACTACAAAGGAAAATCATAAATCGAGATCAAACTATAATAATAGCATCCAAATCAATTGTTCGTGTAATTATAGGATATTATGCAATCTAGCATGATCATAAAGGTTAGCTACTCCTTTTCAAACCGAGCAAATGCATAAATTTCATTAACCAATTTAATCTCATCAACAAATCAATAAAAAAACCCCAAATTAGCATTAAATTATCACTAACACAAGCTTCACAAAATTCCCTAGCAAATCAACTATTCACTAATCATGGTGAAATTAAAATGCATAACATCTCATCATCAACATTGTAATTCAAACTTTAATAATCAAATTCAAGCTAAACAATAGAAATTTAACAATATAACAAAATCAAACATCAAATTGCATTGAAAAGTTAAGTATTCTTACAAAACCTTAATCAATATCATAGAGGAATGAAGATCTCAATATCATAATCATCAAAGACCAAGTTTCTCTCTCTAAAATTGAAAAACAAAATTACAAAATCAAGAGTTTCTCTGTTTAAAAATCTAATCAATAAAAATCTAATTCCAATTGATTCTAATTTTTTCCAATTCATTTCCTCTCTAAAAAATTAAAGAAAATCTATATATTGTAAAACTAAATAAAGGGGAAGTTAGTTAAGCGTCCAAAAAGGACCTCAAAGAGTGCGACCTCTCACTCTTTTGCGCGGCCGCTACAAAATGGGTACGGAACAAGGAGGAGAGAGTGGCGTGGCAGCTCCAGGCTCGCGCGCGCCCGCTTTAAGGGAGCAGGGGATCCCTTCTAGTGCGGCCGAGAATGTCCTCGTGAACCCCAAATGCGCCCCGATGAAATTGGCAGTAGGTTCGGGCACTTTTGGTGGCACTACTACAAAAAAGATATTAGAGAATGGTTAAAAGTTGCTTTACAGAACGTCTTAGAACCTTTCTTCTGCTAAACGATGTATAAAGTTTATAGAACGGGTTAAAAAGGCGTTTTGTATTCTTAACAATATAGAACGGTCCTTGAGATTAACTGTTCTGTTTTCCCTATTTAAAATAATAATAAAATGAAGGAAAACGCAACCGCTTATCATAGCTAACCGTTCTATATTTCTATACCAAAGAGAACAGTTATGTATGACAACAGTTCTCTATTCTTCTTTTTTTTGATTTTTTTGCAAAAAAAAAAAAAAAAATCATGCGAATAATATAAATCAAGAAATATTACAAATTTACGAAAAATTATTTTTTCTTAAGATAGACATTAATATTAATTAGGAAATATTCAACAAATAAAGACTGTAAGATTTATTGAAATTGAATATAAAAAATAGGGAAATTCCCATTGATACACTCGTGGTTTTGACTTTTCCCATTGATACACTCCAAAATTTTTGCCTTCCCATCGGTAAACCCAAGGTTTAGTCTTTTTCCCAACCGTGACTAACACCGTTAAAAAGTATTTCATTAAGTTAAAATAATTAAGGAAAAGACTATAATACCCCTTTTAAATATCTAATATCTCGATTTGCGTGTCAAAAATTGTTCGGTTAAAGTTTTGGAAGTCATGTTAGTGTTTAAGGATCTAAACCTCGAAATTAGAAAAAAAAAATATCGCAAATGTCTCATGTGCGTGTCAAAAATGTCTCGGTTTGCGTACCATTACTTTTTTGTGATAGTAATTGTTCAGGTAATGTTTTAGGGGTCAATTTGAACCTTTAAGGGTCTAAATCGAACTCAAAATTGTAAAAAAATTAATGAAACTGTCTCGTTTTGCGTGTCATGACAAAACAAAAAAGAAATATCATGACGTGCAAAAAATAAGATATTTTTGTTAATTTTTTGACAATTTCGAGTTCGATTTAGACACATAAAGGATCAATATGACTCCCATAACTTTAACCGAAAAATTTTCGACACGCAAATCGTGACATTAGATATTTAAAAAGGGTATTATAGTCTTTTCATTAATTATTTTAACTTAATGAAATATTTTTTAATGATGTTAGTCACAGTTGGAAAAAAGACCAAACCATGGGTGTACCGATGGGAAGGCAAAAATTTTGGAGTGTATCTATGGGAAAAGTCAAAACCACGGGTGTAACGATGGGAATTTCCCTAAAAATATTAAACTTTTACATTGAATTTGGAAAAAAAAAAAAAAAAACTTTCATTTTTCCAAATTTGTTCAGCTTTCGTCTCTTCCAATTTCCGATGTTACTATTACTAGTAAATCTGCAGAACAAAAAAAATAAACGTATGTGAACATTTTAATTTGATTTAAAACTAATTCTAAAAAAAAAAACTACAGTTCAAAATTTAAATCACAAAATTTGAAAGAATATTTCAGTTATACAAAAGACTATATGAAATTATAGAAAGAATAAACATATATTCATACAAGATTATACATCACAAAAAAAAAAAAAAAAAAATTGGAGCATTAAAATAAAAAGGAGATCTATACTGAAAAAGGAGGGAGATAAAAAAAAAAAAGAATTATAACTGCATTCGTATACTGCAGAATAATGCTCCGTATTTTATACATTTGATCCACTAAAAGCAAAAATGAAATTTACTAGGAAAAAAATTACATTATGACAAACCTTAATTGAATTGATTGATAAATGATAAATCAGGATTCGTCAATTGTAGATCGAAACCACTTAGAACCAGGTAACCCAGATTCTACAATAACACATTGTACCAAACAAGGGTAAGTTTCATCAATAATACAGTACTCTTCTTAAAAACGCCGACACGGGAAAGAGAGTCGCATGTAATCACTCAAACACATTGAAATTCTCTAATTTTCTTACCTATTT